CCTGTACATGTGGTTGCATACGGTACTGACGTGCTTGCGATTGTTTTTGTTGCTGCTTTTGTTGGTCAGGTGGTTCATATGATGATTGCATTGTTGTAGTAGGTGGTAATCCATCGCTTTCCACCATATTGTAACCGTTGCTGAAGTGTTGCTGTGAGCGTGGCGTTGGTGCTAAGTTGTATTTAGATGAGGAGTCAAGCACATATAAGGGTTCAGCACTCAAACTGCCCACTACATCTTCATCGTCGTCTTCAGTTGTATTCTCCTTTTGCAGTCCGTCGTGAGGTTGTTCATTGTTGTGATGATTTTCGTATTGATCTTGCATGTGAGGGTGTTGCCGCGTGGTACACGAATTTTCCGTGGTATTTGGACAGCCTGCTTGGCCTGCATTATTAACTGGTGGTGGGTAAAACGAATTTCGGCTTTGTGCATCCAATGCGGTATGATTGGAACGAGGAGTAATATTTAGCTGTAGGCGATTCAAATGGGACTGACAATCATTGGTGGTGCAGCTGAATAGATGTTTGATTAGAAAAAAGCTCACATTAAAGATATATACACATGTATGTTCAATTCTCTTTATTACCGCTTTAGGGCGTCGTATAGAAATTGTTCATCTTGTATATCTTCAGTTTGAACTTGCTTATGCACAGATTTTACGGTATTTGTACTACCTGTACGAGAAACGCTGTTTCGGACAATATGATTACCTCCATCGCCAATACTACCGGCAACAGGGGCGCGAACCACACATCCGCTAGGCACTCTTGTCAATGATGGACACCGCGTGTTGATTTGTTTCTGAATATTATAATGAATTTGATGAAAAATTTTGAATTAATTGGTTAACTCAACGAATTACATCTAATCCATTGTAATTGTTACGTTGCTGCGATTGGGAACGTCGTCCATTATATCTTTGTTCTCGCATCACTTGTTCTTGCTGCTGTTGCATCCTATTTTTACAAGTTACACGTTGTAGTTCACGTAAACTCAATTTATTCTCACGTAGGAAGTTGCGGCGATTACGATCCATCTCTGTTTTAAATGAGAAGGCGTAGTAAGTACATATACATATTTATTTCACTATTAGTACTGCTAGTCTGAAAAAATTCTTGTGGATTAATA